CCCATTTCAAAACCCAACAAAATATTTACATACAGTAAAATGCTTTTGGCGACTTCAGTCAACCAGTTACGTCAAATGCACTAGGGGCTGGGTTTTTGTGTTGGACTATGAGGCCCTGGTCAGATCAGGGAGGGTAAGAAAGAGAGGAGTAAGGAAGGTGGCGAGAGCAGGGATGGGGAGTGAGGGATGCGGGTACTACTGTACTCACCTGCTGGTACATAGTTTACTTGATGCGGGGAAGTGTGGTGAAGTCAGGAGTATTAGAAATAGCTTGGCATGTTGAGGTGTTGCACAGGAATAAAGACACCAACTCCAAAGGAACTCAAGTTTAGTTCTGCAGAAGAGTGTGCATCAGCCAAAAAATCTGGCCAGCAAGCGCAAAGAGCAGGCAGGCTGCTCCCTTTTTATCCCCAACCCAGCAGGCCCCGCCCCTCTGCTCACATGGGCTGAGCTCAGGTTCACAATCTGTGAAGGGATGTGGCTTAATTAACAGTAAGTAATGAAAAGTCAAGGAGCTTCTAATAGAATGTCTTACTGTAAGTGCTGAGAAAAGGATGTATGTAACTAAAATGTAATGAATGAGGGCCAAGCCACCTGGCAAAGCAGGAACTTCTCAGAAAAACAGCTCTCAAGATTAGCTTCTTTTCCAACTTGAAAGAAGCTTTTCTCACAGGAGTTACAAGAGTGCAGAAAACAGATGAGTATTTGTGTAAGGAAGGGTGAAGCAGGGTAGACTATAAGTAGCAGAAAAGAGATAAGAGAAACAAAAGAAAAAAAGATGAAAACAAATATAAAATGTGAGGGTAAGTTTGGTTGCCAGCTGGGGTCATCAAAAAGGACCAGCTCAGCCAGGTGCCTATGGCTCATGCCTGAATCCTAGCTACTCAGGAGTCTGAGATCTAAGGATTGCAGCTCAAAGCCAGCCAGGGCAAGAAAGACCATGAAACTCTTATCTCCAATAAATCACCAGAAAACTGGAAGTGGCACTGTGGCTCAAGTGTTAGAGTGCTAGCCTTGAGCTGAAGAGCTGAGGGACAGCGCCCAGGCCCAGAGTTCAAGGCCCATGACTGACAAAAAAAGAACCGAAGGACCAGCTCGCCCAGGCCCAGTCTGTTCTGTGATCTCATTGCAGAGGTGGAGCTCCTCTACAGGCCAGCCACATCTCCTGCCTACTGTCCCTCCGCTCCCTGCACCGGCACCTCCTGATTCGCCTCTTCCTCAGCTGAGCCAATGTATGCAAATACAGTTCAGAGTAAGTGCCAGGCACTAAGGACTTGGCCTCTAGGTGTGGCCTGTGTCATTACCCTCACTGCCTCCTAGCACACCGCACGCTGTCTCAACTGAGAAGAGTAAGTCTCCGTTTTGTACTGCTTCTCCATCCTGCTCCAGACACCCACCTCGTCCCACCTCGGGACTTTTGTTTTCTTAACCTTTATCCCTGAAGTCTTGACTTCAACATTCCTCTGACTGCCAAAAGCCCCGAAACCCTTTCCAGTTAGGGGACTCTCCTCTCCACTTGGATTCCCAAGTTTACTGTTATCTATTCCTTTCCTGAATCTCTTTTTCTTTTGGAAAATTT